TCTGCTTCCCTACACCAGCAAAATGCTGTAAACTGTGCGTCATGGTCACTCCTAATAAGCTCTTGTTCCCAATCCACGTCTTGTACCTGCTACTCAGTGGGTTGGTAGGACCTTTGTTCTGGAACACTTTAAGAGGGCTGAAGCTGTTTCTGCTTTGAAGTAGTGTTTAGCTTTGTCGGCGTCTGGGATCTCTGCAGAGCTGACCCTGCGTGGAGCCAGCAGGACCGCTGGCTGCTGCTCCATGCTGTGGCCACGCCGCCAGCCTGACTAAGCAGTGCCAGAGGCGCCTGGTGCCCATGCTGCTGCAGGAGTGCCCTGCTGTGGCACTGCCTGCATCCCAGCATCACCTTCAACATCACCCAACCCTGGTTCAGAAGAGGGAAGAGTTCACAGTACCTGGCTTTATCCCGTGGTTTGTTTGCAGCAGGACTGGGAAAGAGTTAAACGATGTCAACCGCATCATCCGGCAGCAGTAAGAGTGGCAGCATTGGTGTCATTACCCTGAACTGGATACATGGCAGCACTCATCCTGCTGGGAACATGGGGAAGAGCCAGCTGCATGCTTGAACACAAGGGACAGCGTCACTGGAGTCACCTGAGATCAACAGAGGGAAGTGACTCCCTGCCCTGAAGATAAGCTGTGCTGCTGGAGGGAGGCCTCATGGCTGCTGCATGTCCTTCGGAAAACAGCAGGGTTAGCAGGGGAGAGGGCTCCATGGGCCAATGGTATGTGGGTAGCAAAAGCTCTCTGCTTGGCAAAAGGTGTTTGACAAACCACGTCCAGAAGCCCTTTGAAGGAGAAAACCTCCGTTCTCCCTTGGATATACTGGAGTACTTAATAAATAACTGTAATTAAGCATGAGGTGGTAGCTTAAGAGCTTGTTCCCAGAAGTTAACATCAAAACACTTGCTCTTAGCACTTCAAGAGACAATATGAAAGCAGACTCCATGCACAGATGAAAGTAGAGTTCTCAGAAAAGGCTAGAGAGCCCTGGATATGTGTACACTGCTTCTTCAGAGAGCTCGAGGAAAAGGAAGCAACAGAGTCACTTCTGTAATAATGAACAGTGACCAAGATAGCACCAATATGGGGTGAGTGAGTTTAAAAACAGGACATGAGGAATTGTATGGGGAGAAGACGTGTGTGTTCTTTCTTAGGTTGTCCAGCAGCTCCCCACAGCCCACTGGTGTGGAGCAGCTGTCCCACCTCCTCTGAAGACACCCCCCAATTCAGGGGCTTCCCTGCCCCACAGCAGGGACAGCCACAGCACGTCTGGGCTCTCTGCCACTGGTGGGAGTGCACATTTAAGGTGAAGTGATTACTGCAGGCTTCTTCACAGGAGATGTCTCAAGGGTTATAAGAGCAAGAAGAAAGAGAATTGTGGATGCAATTTTTTTTTTTTAATAGAAAATCAATGATCTTGCCCTCAGGCAGGTGGCACGGTGTGCCTGGCGCAGCCTGGCGCTGTCAGGGAGGCTGGAGAAGGAGGTGCTCACTGCAGGCTCTGCCAGGTGCTTGCCAAGGGCCAAGTCAAAGCCGCTGTGGGTGCCCTTATCCTCTGCTCCTGTAAAAAACACAGTGAAAAGCATTCCCAGGTCTGGTTTTCAGTCTCCTAATTGCTGCTGAAATTGAGAAGCGTGGGGAGCCAAGGTCTCATTTGCTTTACAATGATCCCCTCCTGCCCTGGAACCTGGGCTGGTCTTAATTTGTCTTTGGTTCAGGCAAGAATGGACTAGGCAGACGTACATGTTATCTCTTGTTTTTTTGGAAGCAGGGAGCCTATTGCACAATGAAGCTTGGTCTGGATGCAGATTAAAAATGCATGTGTCTGGGGCACTGAGAGCCAGGCTAGTCTGAGTTACTTCAATCAAAAAAATAAGAAGTATTACAAAGGGCTGATATGGCAATGAGGAGAGTAAATGGGACTGAATGCTTTTTCTCCATAGGACATACCCATCAGTTCTGTATGTGTGAGCTTGTCTTAGCCAGAGGGGTTTTGTGCTCTCAGGACAGAAGGAACTCCAGTGAAGTCAACGCAAACACACAGTTAAAGTTCACCATCACATCTGGCGGCTGTGGGTCAGGCACTTGTGGAGGGAAAGGTGGTGTCAGTCCGGCTGTTCATCACTCAACAGGAGCGGACGGTTTGGCCTCAGGTGTGTGTTCAGCTTCCTGCAGTTCTTATAGGGCTTTTAACTTGGGGATTTATAAGTGTCGACTAATTGCATCCACATTAACTGCAGCCAAATATTAAAACAGCACATGAATGTCATTTGAAATGAGCTGTTCCCAGACTAGGACTCATGCAGATTTGGCAGGACAGGATAGATGTGCCAAAATCATGTTGGAATAATGTCTGAAAACAATGCTCAAAATGAGCTTGAGCTGCAACATGAGGAGAGCAGGTAGTTCAGGTTTAATGATCTGATGCTAAAGGAAAAGCATAGAAACAAATCTAAGAGGAGTGATGAGAAACACCATCTCTTTTCCCCTAGCAAAATGCCTCAACACTAACGTTCCAGCACCCCCATCTCGCTCCCTGTTTCTGGCCATCTCTTCCTCCCTGCACCAAATACTTTTGCATTCCTTGCTGCACAGAAGCATGGATTCTACAAGCCCACCAGCCTTATGAGACACATGACCAGAGCCAGCGCTAGTGACCTCAGGTGACAGCAATTGTTCCCTGTGTCTAGTAAGCCCTGGGGCCAGCAGCATTCTCCACCTGAGGAAAGCTGGAGGCAGAGCCAAGGGAGGTGTGATCAGCCCAAACCCAGCCGCTGCTTTTGTTAAGTTTATTTATTAAGATGCCTATTTTACCCTGTTTCTCTTTGTCTCTTGACAACTGCAGCCTGATTCCTCTCACATCTTGAACTAATTCTCTTCCCAGCAGAACGCAGCATGTGCAGATCACCTGCCTGATATGCTACCCAAGGGAAAACCCACGTCACAGCCTCACTGTGCCTGCTAGAGTACCTCTCCCCCTCCCCAGCCCCTCGCTCCTAATGCGATGCCGTTGGAAGCCTGGTGTTATTTTTACAGCCCTGTCCCCACCTCCCCCAAAGTCAGGTGCTGCCTGAAATAGGCCGACTAATTTGGAGTTAGAATTTCAGTTGCCTGAAAAATTAAGGTGCTGAAAAACAAACTGCACCAGCAGGAGTTTTACTCCCAGATTCCTGGCTCAGTGCTGAAAAATAATCAAGCTCTGAAGACTTAGCACCACTGGGCTGCTTCATTTCAGAGTTCCTCGAAGGCTCTGGGGTTGAGCTGGGTCCTGCCTGTCCCTTCCCAAGGAGGACAGTGGGAGTGGAGGAAAGCCCATTGCACTCAGATGGGCTCCTGTGGGAAAATACTTTGTCCATGAGACAGCTTAAATGGGATTTTATAGCTTGAACTTAGATGCCTTTTCCTTCCCTACGAGCAAAAAGAACATGCTCAGGGCTGGGCAAATCCTGCAAGGAGGGCGAAAACAAGATATTTGGGATCTAAGAGCAGCATTAAATCAATCTGTAAAGTAGCATCACTGCTGTATTTGCTGCAGATCACCTAAGAGCCCATGTTCTCTGCATGGATGGCTCTGCTCTATCTGCTTCTGCCATCTTCCAGCCTGTGCCAGTCAGTGACCTGGCAATACCACAGCCACCTGAGGCAGGCTGCTATGGTCCTTGCTCCAGGAATTTCTACAGCAGGAAAGCCCAGGGTTGTTACCTGCTGTTCCTGTGACATGCTCTGGTTTTGCAGGTCTAGAGTGGCTCTGCAGCTAGACCCTAGGAGGATGGAGGAGTGAACTTAAAAGAATAAAAAGAAGTGAATAAACAAAATTAAAAAAATAAAAATTAGGGGAAAAAAGAAAATCAAAGTAAGAGTAGATATAAAATGAAAATAAGAATAAAAATAATAAAAAATTAAAATAAAGGAAAAAGAAAAAAGATAAAAAGAAAAAGGTAAAAAGAAAAAGCAAATAAAAATAAATAAAGCACAATATTAATAAACAAAATTAAAATGTGGTTAATTAAACAAATGAATATTATAAAAATAAAAGTAATAAGCACGAAAATACAGAATTAATAAAATAATAAAAACATAAAATAATAAAAATATAGAAATAAAAATCGAAATAAAAATGAAATAAAAACATTTTAACACTTATAAAAACTAAACTAGTCTGAAGTTTGGTTTATTGAAGCAGTGAAGGAATGGGCCAAGCACTGCCAGCCACCCTTCTGCAGGGAGTAGGGCTGGATCAAACGCCCCCTGAGACACTGTGGCAGGGAAAGCCGATCTGTGGGGCCAGACTTGCGCCCCGTTGCCCAGAAGTCACCCCCGCGCTCCCCGCTCCCGGCCGTGTGCCTGTCCCTTTAAATCCCGGCGGTCGGACCAGGGAATCCCTCTCGAGCGCGTCATCCGCGGCAAGGAAACCCGCGCTCGCGTCGTGCGACGCAAATGACCATTTTTGGCAACGTGCGACAGCGGACGGGACCAAGCGGGGCAGGGGGGGCGGAGCCTGCCGGGAACAGGTCGCCGCACCGCCCCCGCCGCTCCGCCCTCACCGCCCGCTCCGCCGCCCTCCGCAGGCCCCGGCGGGGCGGGCGGAGCGGTGGGGGCGGCGCGGCGGGCGCGGCGGAGGCGGGCGCTGTCCTCCGTGCCCGTCCCTCCTCCCCCGCCAGGGCGGCAGGTGGGAGGCTCCGCGCTGGCAAGGTGGGGCCGGTGCGCCGCGGGTTTGACGTGTGCGAGTGCACATGGTGCGGCGGCGGCGGGCGGATAATAAGCGAGCGGGGCCGGGGCGATGCCATTGCTCTGAGTCACCGCGGGCGCGCGGAGCTCCCGCTCTCCGAGCCGCGGGGCGCAGGACCCGGCTGAGTCACCCCCGTGCCGGGAAAAGGGGCGGCCGGTGTGTGGTGGTGGTGGTGGAAGAGGAGGAGGTTGGGGGGGCGGAGGAGAACCGCTCCGCCTGCAGCCCCCGGGGCCGCGGCCGCTCCGCCGGCGGGGCGAGTCTCGCCAGGCAGCGCGGAGAGAGGACATCGGCGAGCGCCTGCCTGCGCGCACGGCTCTGCTCCCGCCGCGCCGCCGGGACCTCCCGTCCCGTTCCGTGCCGTCCTGCCGGCGCTCAGCTGCCGACTGAGCCATTTACACATCCTTATTATTAATTTTGTTATCTCTTTTTTGTTGTTTTTTTTTTTTACTTTTTTTTTAACCTTTCCCCCCCCCCCTTATTACCTCCCAAAGCCTTTTTTATTATTTTTTTCCCCTCTTCGCGGCGAGCGTTGGGAGGCGAAAGGCAAGAGCCGAAGAGGTCGGGAGGGAGAAAGGGGCGGGGAGACGGCGAGGGAGCGGCGGGTGTCGGTGTGGGAAGGCGGGGACGCGGCTCCCCCGGCCCGACCTCGGACCATGTATCAGGACTACCCCGGGAACTTCGACACCTCCTCCAGAGGCAGCAGCGGCTCCCCAGGACACCCCGAGACCTACTCGAGCGGCGCAGCCCAGCAGGTAGGGCCGGGCGCTGCCCCTCTCCCGCGGTCCCTGCAGAGACTGCTCCGAGCGCTCCCGGCACGGGAGTTCACCGCCACGCCCGGGGAGCGGCCGGCGCTTCCTCGGCGGTGGAGGCGCGGGCGCCCGGCGGAGAGGCGCCGGCCGCGGGGCTGCCCGCAGCCGCGGCCCGTCCTGTCGCCCCCAGCGGGGCGCCGCCGCTTTCCTTCCCTCCCTCCCTGCCCGCCCGCCCCGGAGCGGGTGCCGTGACGCGTCCGGCAGGACGCTGACCGGAGTTCCCGGCCGGCTGGGCCGGGGGTGCCATGGGAGGTACGGCCTGCCCCGAGCGGGGACGCGCGGTGAGGAGCGCCTGGCGGGCAGCCCCCGCCTCGGCCGGGGTCGGTGCCGAGCCCCCGCCTGTCGCCCGGGAACTCGCCGCAGCGGCGGGCCGGGACCAGCTCAGAAGTCACAGGGCTCCTTCGGTCGACTGCGCTCCGAGGTCGGTAGCGCGAATACAGGGACGCACCGAACTCTTCCTCCTTCCTGCTTTTGTTCTCGTCAGGAGCTTCTCGGTGTCCCAGCACACCGCTCCTGTCCGGGCAGTGCCCGCGGCTCTCCAGCAGCACTTTGGGCGGCTTCCCTGAGACTTTGGGAGGTGCTGCTCAAGTTATTCACGGTGCTGCTGCAGCCGCCGTGGAACGCGCAGGGGTAGCTGAAAGTGGGCTCTGGGTCTTTCAAGCGCCCGCAGTGGTCTTCCCGCTTCTCACCCCGCTAAACTTTGGCTCCGGGGTACTGACACTATCTTTGCCTTTCCCGCGGTGGGACCCCGGGGCCAGCGGAGTGCCGCTCTCCTCAGCCCGCTGCCCGCCCTCTCCTTGGTTCTGGCTGGATCCGCTGGCCGCAGAGCGGCCGGCGACGGCTTTTCCCGAGCTGGAGTTTCCTGGGGCCCGTAGGAGCGCTCCCCGCGCCGTCCGGCCCTGCTCCCCCCGCAAGCCCCGCTGCCGGGCGGCGCTTGGAGAATGGGAGATATTTCCTGTGGAAGCGGCGTGAATTCACGGACCTAAAAGCCCAGTCGGGTGATTTTGGGTTTTTTCCCTTTCATTTTCCTAAGAAAGCACCTCGGAATGACTTATATGCCTAGATAGACTAAATCCACCACTTCTGGGGAAGGCATTACACAATCGGGCCAGTTATACAAACCTGGGTTATTTCATAACTTGTTTACATCAGCTGGCCCAGCCTCAGTCTTTTTTTTGCCTTTTCAGAGTTGGGCTTCACCCCCCCCTCCCCTTTCTCACAATATTATTATTTCTTGTGTGGCTTGTATGAGAGAACTGGCAGCATAAGCAGTGCTGCAGCCTTCGCATCAAGAAGTCATAGGATCATTAAAAAAAAAAAAGGAAAAAAGTCCAGTTTTAAACTCTGCCAGCCGTACCAGCCCGTGACATTCCTCACATTAAAGAAGTTTTACCAGAAATGACTCGCTGCCGCTCCCCGCCTGTTCCAAATGCATCTCGCTGGTGCCCTCTGCGGGTTGCGGACTGAGGTTTCCCGGGATTCTAGCTCAGCTAAAGCTTATTCCTTGGTTTACAGTAAATGCCGGGACAAGGTGGGGGAGCGGGAAGGGGGGCTGAGAAGCTGGAAACGCCCGGCAAGCTGCAAGTCCTCACTCTCCCTTTCCTCCTGTGATTCAACAGCTGCGCTGGATTCGAGCACTTGTTGCGGGAGGTCGTGAAACTCCGTCACCACTTAATATTTGAGCTGTCGTGGTCCGAGCGATAACTGGGTTTTCCCCTTTTCCTGGGGCTGCGCATCTTCCCCGGGCAGCTCATGTGCGAGGCGTTTGATATAGGGACCAGAGCCCGGTTTCTAGGGTTACTATCTGAAACGGGGCTTTGAGCAGGACGTCGGCTTAGCAAGAACATAAATGTTTTCTTTAAGAATCCGGGAGATTTCTCAAGGCCTTGTAGATCGTCTTTCCCTTGATCCTTACAGATGTTGTAGATTAGGATCAAATGTAAGCGTTGCCTTTACCCCAGCAGTCGGGCTGTTATGCTCATTCTGGTCTAGGGAGATCTGCAGAGTTTTATCGCTACAGAAAATATGCATTGCAGAAATTTTTTCTTTAGTGTGTGCTTTTTTTTCCCAAAAGCAAGAAAAGATGCATCAGTCACATGTTTAAATGGAAACTGTGTCTCTGAGCCAAAACTTTGATGCTTTTTAATTATTTTTTCCCATACTGCACAGCACTGGAACATTTTTCTTTTAAGTTGCGTGTCATGCTATTTTCCTAATCGCTGACTTGCCATGTGGTAAACATAGACTTTAATGGGAAGAGTTTGTATACTCTTTCAGACCAGTCAACTTTCCCCTGAGATATCATAGCACTGTGTCCAGTGGTCCTTCAAGGAGATGTTCAACACGGGAGACCCATCAGGGGCTTTGTATTTATTATAATATATCACAAATACCCTGTATTTGATAACTGAGTAAAGATGCTGTGGGTATTTTCTTGGTTGCTTTGTTGTTGGATTTGATTATATTTTTTTTGCCCAGCCATTTTACCCATTTCTCAACTGGTTTCTGGTGCTGCTCAGCACTTAGAGATGTAAGTGAAGGTCTAGAGAGGAACGAAGACACAATAGGGTGTGGTATAGAAACTCCTAAGATGGAGAAGGGAACCATGAAGACAAAGCTTGAAATGTTTCTGTGTTGTCTGTGCTACTTTGTGAACTGCTAATGTAGTCGGTCCCTACCCGTGGTAGGACTTGCTGGAGCCTCCCCTGACTGTGGATCTGAGGAGGCTCCCGTCCAACCCCATGTTTTTAAGGCAGAGCAGAGACTGACCTCAGTTCTTGGCACTCTTAATAACAGGACTCTTTCTGTTTGCTGTTTAGTTGTTGGGGTTTTTTAATGATACCTTCATCTGTGTGTTGCTTGGGTCAGGAGGCGAGCGGTGGCTTGGTGGTTGAGCGTGTGCTGCGTGTGTAGCCCTGCAATCTGGCTATCACCACATCTTCTCTGCAGTGCTGGGAATTCCTTGTAGATAAGAAGAACTGAGAGCTGGCAGAGAGGTACCTCCAGGAGCCTCTCATGGGTCAGAAGATGAGAGCTGTGCGTGTCCTGGGAGATGAAAAGGCAGGAGGGGCTCTGGAAAGAGGAGAAATGGGGAGGTGGGTGAGGGCATGCAGTGCTGCAAGGCTGGCAGGGCGACTGAAGCTCTCCAAGACGGGGAGGCATGAGGAGAGCAAAGCTGGGGCTGGAGTTTGGGGAAAGGTCTGGCATTCCGATATGAGGAGGCCAGTGCTCAAAGGGGCTGTGTAGGGGAGGTGGCAGGGAATTCAAGGCCTGCCACTGCAACCAGCAACATCCCAGGAGTCAGAGCTGATGGCCACTGGGCGAGTGGGGGGGGGGCAGCAGCATTTTGGCACAGGAAAGCTGATCCAGTGCAGTGTTCTAGCAGGGAAGGCAAGGTATGTGGGGAAAGCCTGACCAGTCAGGAAGTAAAGCTTGTAAAACCTGGCAGAAGACTGAGCACCCTGTATCTGAAGACTCAGCCTGCCACAGCAGTGTGTCCCTTAATTAGTTATCCAGGAAAAATACTTCCTTTGGAGAGTATTTCAGAATACAGATTTGGAGGATTTTTTCTTTCTAAGATATTTTGTGTTATTAGAAAGGAAGTTGGTGATAGATGGGGCATGGCACCGAGAGGAACTGATCTCTCTTCCCCAGGTCTGCAAGCAAGCATCATGGAGCTGCAGAGGGATGTGGCTGAACTGAGCAGCTCCCCTTTGCAGTCCAGGAGATTCTGCTAGTGTTAGGGAAGGATCCTAGGTTGAATACAGGAGTGATTGGAAGCAGAGTACTCACTTTATCAATAACTTGGAGCCTGATCTTTGTCAGATGCTTGTATTATATGTGGCTGATTTGGTGGTGGATCTGACTCTCCCAACCTCTGTTGGGAATTTTAAGCCTGTTGCTGGGTGTTGGAGGCAAAGGTTTGCTCTGGAATGCAGATGGTGTCTGCATGGCAAAGCACCAGAAGATCTCTGAATGTTTTGCAGCCATAGCTTTCAAGTGTCCCTGAAAAGAAGACAGGACTTTTCCTCTCTGTTTTTATTGGATACAAGAGGGATGGTGACACAGGTAGGTAAAGGTTTTGGTAGAAGCCACTCGTGGAGCAGGAAGCAGGGCTCACATCCCTTGAGTTGAGCCTGTGGTTCAACTAGTCTTGCACTTAATTCCTTCTGTGAAGGTAAGGTCCCTTTGTGTTTTGGTTGTGGAAGCACCAGGGCATCCTCTCCTGTGCCATGTGGTCACAGCCTACACCAGGCAGAGCAAAGGAGGGGATTTGCACCCATAAATTCTGATGTAGTATTGACAGTTTGCAGCTCTGGGCCTCTGTAATTAACTGGGAGAGGTGGCATGCACTCTGAAATGTGGGGTGAGCTGAGGCTGTGTTGGACTTAAGCTCCAGGTGAATCTCTGAGGTTCTGTTGGGGGGATTTGCCAAGGTCTTGGTGCCGGTGTCATCTTCTCTGTGTAATTCCCCCACCTGCTTAACTTGACTCACTTCTTCCTTCTCTCATCCTTTCTTGCTAGATGTTCAGCTGTCCAAAGCTGTAAGTCAGCAGTTGTCAGTATTCAGACTGGATCTCCTGATCTCCAGGCGTTGGCAGCTGGCTAATGCTGGCCCAAAGTGCTGTAGCTATCAGAACTTGAAATACTATTTGCAGTAGCCTTGGTTTAACAAAGCACTTAAGGTGCTCGACTAGGCACACCCTGAAAAGGAAATCTGCGTTGAAGTGCTGTACCTTATCTGGGACGCTTACCTGAGCTGAGGTCAGGCTGATGCAAGGGCTCTTGTTTCTCTGGAAAGCCAGTTTGTCGACCCAAGAATGCGCGTTTTTCACGGAATCATTTCAAGGCTTACAAATCAGTGGTGGTGACTGCCGCAGGTCCTACAAGTCCTGTCCCTTGCACAGTGATTGCTGGAGCAAGGCATGTCTGTCTGTTAATCCCAGTCTAACCATTGAAAGCCTCCTGAAGGAGCTCAGCATAGACAAAAGCATTCTTTCTCCCCTTCTTCCCCCTCCGGGGACAAGCGATTGTTTTCCTTGCAATTTAGTGCCAACGTATTATCCAGATGGATTTACCTCTGTCTGAAACAAGGTGTACATGTATTTTGGAGGCGATCATTACCTGCTGCCTTGGTTTTACTGCTGCCTTGTTTTGTCTAGACAGTGCAGAGAGCTGCAGGGAACTTGTCCGATCTGAATCCTAAGACCTATTTTATAGGCTGCTATTAAAATACATATCCTCGCACGTAACCATCCTGGGGCCGGGTTTCTCGCCCTGCATGTGTTGCAGGTGCAGAACCACTGAATAAGAGGCAAGCTCCTGTTCTTGCCATACCAAACCCTGTGTGGACCAAGCCCAAATTCCAGGGCAGTCCTTTGGTAGAAGAAGGCTTCATCCTTCTTGGTAGGGGCATTTCAAAACTGAAGTTTCTCTTCCTTTTCTTTGGGCTCACAGAGAAGTGTTTCTCTAGAAACTCCTGAATTCCCCTTTTACTCCCCACCGGAAGGAGCGGTGGGCACAGGCAGGAGGTGGCAGTGGTGGGGACACTGCCTGTGAGGGGAGGCTGGGGAGGTTTATGGGGGAAGAGGAAGGAGGCTGGGAGAGGCCAGAGCTGCTCCAGAGGAAAATTGCCTGAGCCCAGTGATTCCTCAGGGGGCTGTGGCAGGCAGGGGCAGCCTGGGATGCTGCAGAGGCACCAGCTGCTGGTGTTTGTGCTTCAGGTGCTGCTTTGATCCTCACTGGTGCCACTCCTGAGGGCCTAGCTGGTTTCGGAATAACCACTTATGTTCTGCTTTCATTGACAGTTTCTTTTCTTCTCTGTCCCTCTTCTCCTCTGCCTTTCCTCCTAGAAATTTCGAGTAGATATGCCAGGATCAGGCAGTGCTTTTATCCCTACGATCAACGCCATCACAACCAGCCAAGACCTGCAGTGGATGGTCCAGCCCACCGTCATCACCTCCATGTCAAGCCCTTACTCTCGTTCGCACCCCTACAGCCACCCGCTGCCCCCGCTCTCTTCAGTGGCCGGACACACAGCCCTTCAGCGTCCTGGTGTCATCAAAACCATCGGGACAACAGTGGGACGGAGACGAAGAGACGAGCAGGTAACTGCAGGGGGGAGAGTAGCTGAGAGTGCCTTGAAAACAGATGTACAGGGATTCCCCCCTGCCCCCTCTTGGGATCTCCCAGCCCCAGAAGGGAGCACTGAGGTCTGTCCCCGGCACTGTACAGGTGCTGGGGTTTCTTAGGGTGCCGTAGGGTGTAAGCTGGAGACTGACTCTTAGTGCTGCTTTCTCATCGTGTGGCGAGATTTACCCAGTCTTCATCAAACGCTTTGCACCACCAGGCCGCATTGTGGCTCGGTTTCAAAAGCAGGTGAAACTCTGAAGTCGAGCCCTGGGTTTCAATTTGAGTGTCTCTGCTGCTCCAGGCAGAAGAAAACCTCCAAGCAAGCAGAGGGCCTTTTCATGTAGGTCCTTTACAAATCTGACACCCAAATTACGTCACCAAGGGTTTTCTATCTGCTCTGTGGAAGCTAGCATTGCTCCAGTCTCAATTTGTGTGATACCCCCGGTACCAGCCAGCATCATACAGGGAGGAACAGCCTCTCTAGAGCACTTCAGCTCTAGTAGCAGGAGTCTTCTGAATATCTGGGGTCCAAATCCACGTTCCCGCTACAAATATGCAATTGCTTGATCTTTTTGCAGCAATGAGGTGAGGATCCTGTAAGAGATTTTTCTGCTTCAAACCCGGTGGCATTTTCATAACTTAGATGGGGTGGCTTGTACCACTGCTGCCCTGTGCTCAGCCTCCTGATGAGATTATCAAGCCAGCACTCTGGATATGCAGGGAGGTAGACCAGGTGCAGGCACCTCATCTTCTGGAGATCCTTTCAGCCCTGTCGATCTCTTCTTAGTTGATCTCTTTCTTAGTAAGAAACAGCCTTCCCCAGGACTGTCTGGTGAACAGCTATTCACACTGCTAGGCTGATTTCTTTTTTAAAAAAAATATATCTGAATAAACTAGATCTCCCCAAATTGTTCCCAAGCAGCAGTTGTGTGGGTTGCTACAGAGCAGTGTAATGAGACGCACTGCACACCCTCCATACAAGAGTACACACTATTGCGTGAGGGCTGTTTCCAATAAGTCTCACCAGCCCTACTTTTACTTCCACGTCATCTGTTTTGATTCACTGTCCGATTATTTTATGTGGAGTTGCTGTCTGATTTAGACCTAAGAGGTTAAAGTCAGGAGTTTAGCAGTACCTCTGCACAAGGAGCTGGTATGGGTGCACTGAGGACCCATTTTTGGGAGGAAGAATGGGGCAGCCGTGGTGGTTCGGATACGTGCCAGACCTTTCCATCAGCTGGAGCTTTTTCCCAGTTTCCTGCGTGCAAGGCTGGTGTCCAAAGGCAAGGAAGGTCTCACGAGAACCGGAGGAATAATTAGCAACAACTAATTTGTTTGACAAATGCTGCCTCTGTGTTCACAAATTGGCCGTGAAGAGATCACCATATTCTCTGCTTTATTTGTTGTTCAGAGTTATTTGCTGAAGGATGCCTGCCAAGCAATTCCTGGCCTGTGGCTTGTTTGCAAGGCGTTCATTGTGGGTCATTCAAAGCCAAATCCTTTTGATTAGACACGTGCTAAGGCAGTACCCGGGCACTTTACCGTGGCTCTTTGGCTCAGGTTTCCACTGTTGGTGCTTTGAACACCACATCGGAGTGCCTTTTTGGAAAACATTGTGTAACACTTTATGAAAAGAGCCTGTTTTGATGAATGTTCCTGACAGTGAATGCACGTATTGGGCTTGGACAAGCTATGGATAACGCGTACAGCAGGGGCACAAAGAGTGCCAAATCCAACTGCTTTCAAACAAGTCCAGCAACCACTGACGGAATATTCCTTTTTAGACCTGGTAAAATATTAAGAACGTCTAGATTAGGGGTTTCAGCCCTGTCTGATTTTTTTTTTTTTTTTTTTTTACAAGGCAGAGCCTCTGAAACAGATAATTTTAAAATGACTGAAGGCCCTGGGAGGAGAAATTTTGCTCCCAACATATTTCAATGAGATCTGTGCTTCTAAAGCATGAAAGGGCTCTTGAAAACTGTGCACAGAGGCCCCAAGTCAGCATAGCTTCTGACTTGGGGCATACTTAGTGCTTTGCAATACTGTAGATACTTGTGTAAATACTTTTTTACACATCTGGGCTGGAAAGGGAGCGGGCAGAGCTGTAGAGGGGAGAGTGGGGCCTGCAGGGGCTCCTTACTGGGGGAAATATGCTGCCCAGCAGAATGGAGGTACTTTCCACCCAAAAATGGAGCACTGTGATCTGCTGATGGAAAAGTTTTTGGGCCTAAATCCTGTGTCTTGCAGTCCTAGAAGTGCTTGTGTTGCTCAGTGAGCATCCAGGGGCTCGCATTACATGCAGGTGAAATCACCGGCACAGTTCAGATCCTGAAAAAAGCAGAAATGAGCAAGCTGAATGCCCAGAGGCTGAAGTAAATTCACTGAAACTCCAAACATCAAAATTAAGGAGATAGAGGAAGCCAAAACAACCCAGACTGAGGTTAGAGTAAAACTAACAATAAAAAGAAAAGATAGTAAAAGGATGAATGTCTCATTTGCAACGTGTAGAGTCCATGAAGATGTTAAAACCGAAAGCTTGTGTGAAAAGGGGTTTCTTTCCATTCTCTGCTGGCACGTGCTTTGAGGTGCTGTGAGACCTGACACTTGCTTTGCAGGGTGTCAAGGTTTCACTTTTGTTTGCAGTCACGAGCCCAGAGCCCCTGCAGCACACACCAGCTCGGTGAGGCTGAAGTCCAGGGCATGAGGTTGATCCCCAGCGGAGGAGGATGCACAGCTGAACATGTGCCCTGAATCCCTGTGGTGGTCTGTTTGCACCGGCTCCCGCACGCCATGTGCCACAGCGGAGAGCTGGGCTACACTCACCCTGTCCATGTGCTGCTCTACTGGCTCCCCGGTCTTGGCAGAGGCACAAACCTATCTGCTGCTGCTGGGATTTGTAAAACCTCGTCTCAAACCCCAAAAGCTAGGCATAACTTGACCAGATCTTGTGGGCTCCTGCTCACTTCCTCTGGTTTCGCAAGAGTGTAGCTGGATGGATTCCTATGGAATTGCTCCTGATTTACATCAGTGAGGATATCAGCTGGCCTCAGGAAGCCCTTGGTATCACTGGAGCCTTGCCTGCTGATGCAAGAAGCAGTATGTTATCTAGCTGAGTGCTCAAAAATTTGAGGTCAAATTTTTGGGTAATATAAATCATTGTTGCTTCACGGACTCCATGGGAGCTCTGCTGTTTTCCCTGTCTCCTCCTCTACCCCATCCCCGACCTTCAAGCAAGCAACTATTATTGTGTGGGAAACAGAAGATACTTTCTTTCAAGAAAGAGGCACTTACAACATCATGCTCTGGTTTTGCTTAACGTACCACCCAAGTTGTGAAACAATCAGAGCATCTTTTATCTGTTTGGCTTTGGTGCAGATTCACTGTCCTCTTACACAATCTTCTCCCTGCACCCTGCTCCATCTTCTCCTCACCCTTCTGCTAAGACCTGGTGCAGGCAGAGATACTGTGTGCTTTCATCTTCTGCTGACATCAGTGAAGAGGGGGAGTGCTCAGCATCCTGCTGGATCAGGCCTTTTTCCTTTGCATTGTGGTTAAATCCTCACAAACTTAAAGGAATGCCTTCATCAGATCTGATTGTGGATTTTCTTGGCACTTGCCCACAGCTGTCGCCTGAGGAAGAAGAGAAGCGAAGGATCCGGAGAGAGAGGAACAAATTGGCAGCTGCTAAGTGTCGTAACAGGCGTCGAGAGCTAACAGAGAAACTCCAGGCGGTACGTGCTCTGCATACATTTCTCCTTCCTTGTCTCCTGCCCTTTGGACCAGTTCGAAGGGCATTGTTCTTCCTCCACTAGCATGTTCAAGGAAGATGCTTCACAACACACTGCCTTCCCCGTCCAAGGCTGCCCAGTAGCATTGCTCCTGCATCAACAGTTTTTGGAGGATGAGGAGGACTTGGGCTTGGAGCTCAGGACCCTAAATTCTCCTTGCTGAGTGTCCAGAATGTCCTAGGAGCTCTCTTCGCTTCTGGCTTCCCAACTAGCATGAGTCTCCTTGACTCATCATCAGTGAAAATAAAGGTCCTGTGTGCCTCAAAGGCAGGCTCTAAGGACAAAAGCACTGAAGAGGAAGGCTCATCTGAAAGCAGTAGAAAACAAGGCAGATGTTATGTGTACCTATCAAAGCTACATCCTTTAGGCTTAACCTTTCTTTGGGCATGGGGTGGGGGTAACTGCCATCCTTCAAAAAGGAAGCACTGCAGAGATGTGTGCCCTGGTGCCGCAGGGGTAATAGTTAGCTAAGATAGAGAAGGTAGGGCTGAGCATAGGAACCAAGGGGTGGGTGAGGGACTGGTTGAAGAGGAGGCAAGGATGGGTTGTGTTGAAAGAGGCTGAAGGGAAAGCTCCAGTGCTTCTGCTCAAGGACCAGCCTGGGGCTGGTTTTATCCAGTGATCTTGTTAACAAGCACAGCAGCAGCAGTGAAAGCACACCAGTGAAATGTGCTTCTGACTAGAATTCAGAAGGTGTTCTCAGTCAGGGGAGGCAGGACATCCTATAGAAATGTCATGACTAAAGTAATAGAAGTGAGAGGAGTGCAAAGTGGGAAGTCATATCTTGAAGGAATGAGGGTGAGTTCTTTGTGAAATTATGAGTTCCTCATATGGGAAAGTACTAATTGCTCACAGATTGACTATGAGCCATCAGTGTTATGTGACCATGGGAAAGGTAAATGTATTAATCGTAGGATGCATCAAAGGATGCATCCAGTGGAGACAAAAGTGTTAGTTAGTCATTTGGGCAAGAGTCAGGCAAGTGTCAGACCTAATCTGGAATACACACTACAGAAAGAAACAGTTTAGAGATTGCTATACGCTAACTCTTGTCTAAGTGAAAAGAATATGACTAGCTCAACACAAAAAACAGTGAGAGGAAATCTGGGTCCTCTCTGCTAAGGTGTCTGTCAGGCAGAGAGCAAGGGAGAAGACTGAAGTCACGGGCCAAGACAGAATGGCAGAAGCTGGCCATCAGAAAATTAGGGTGAGTTTATGAGAAGATTATTTATAATCTTAGATTGGTGAAGTTTGGGAATAGCCTACTAGTAGACACATGAAACACAAGATGCTCAACTGGCAATGACCTGGTGCCTTCTCGGCTCATGAAGAGTCTGGGATGTATCTGTCTGTGCCAGATGGGACCTGGACTTGATGGCCATGGTCCAGGTGAGGAGTAGTTCCAGAGCCTTTGGTATTTATTTATTCCCCTTTTGTCTGCAGGAAACTGAAGTGCTAGAGGAGGAGAAGTCAGTGCTGCAAAAGGAGATTGCTGAGCTCCAGAAGGAGAAGGAGAAGCTGGAGTTTATGCTGGTGGCTCACAGCCCTGTGTGCAAAATCAGCCCCGAGGAACGTCGGAGCCCACCATCGAGCAGCCTCCAGAGCGTTCGGACTGGAACAAGTGGAGCAGTGGTGGTGAAGCAGGAGCCTGTGGAAGAAGAGATCCCATCTTCCTCTTTAGTCCTTGACAAAGCCCAGAGGTCTGTCATTAAGCCCATCAGCATTGCTGGAGGTTTTTATGGGGAGGAGGCACTCAACACTCCCATCGTGGTGACCTCAACACCAGCCATCACTCCTGGCTCCTCCAACTTGGTGTTCACCTACCCCAACGTGTTAGATCAGGAGTCTCCTCTCTCCCCTTCTGAGTCCTGCTCCAAAGCTCACCGGAGGAGCAGCAGCAGCGGGGACCAGTCCTCAGATTCCTTGAACTCTCCCACCTTGCTGGCATTGTAATCCCCCTGCAGTCCCCCATTTTGCCAGTGTGTTACATCCACCCACAATACCATGGGGGAGCCCCCCTCCATGGGATTAGAGACAGGCACAGGATCGTTCAAGCACAAGGGCAGCAAGAACAAGGATGGGGAAGTGCTACAGCTCCAGGAAAGAGAGCGAGGACCAACACCAGCTCCCTGGAGGCAGGCAACGGCAAGGGTGGGACTGACATGCCAGGACTGTTTGGAGAGGGTGATGTTCCCTCTGTAGGGACTGCCTATGAAAACCTCTTTGTGGCCATAGTGGACTTGAGGAGCACTCCTGGGTGGGACTGAAGGCGAGCTGCAGACAGTTGCTAGTCATCCCTTTCCTTTGTGGATTGATCTGATCAGTTGTGCTCTGTGCTTAAATCATTCTGGTTAGTTGATCTTACAGCTTCTCTCTTGCCCTCTCTCTCTCTCTCTCTCTCTGCTTATCATTTCCAATGTTGTCGATCCCATTACATTTCATCCAGTTGCTCTGAACTCTAAAGGCTTGTTAGGATCTTTCCTCTTGGGAGTGGCTGCAGGAAACACGTAGGTTGCCCTGACAGGAGGGGGACAGCTGGGAGGATGGGGAGAGAGGGGGACCAAGAGGAGCCCAAGAGCTCAGCAGCAAGGGCAGAGCTTGTAATCTCTAGCCTGGGGCACAGAGACAGCAGGAGGCTCATATGGAAGCCTTTCTCTTTTAAAATGTAGATATGTTTGTCTCCTTGGGCTCCTCAAAAAAACAAGTTAGCATCTCAGGGCCAAAGTAGCATCAAAAGCTGCTGGGCTGGCACTTACCAGTGTTTTTGGCAGGGTTTTACCCTGGTTTGCTGGATATCACGTCTGCTGCTTGTTGTTTACTTTTCTTGGGCTACCCAGTGTCTAGGGAGTATTGCATCTTCCTTCCCATCAGAGCTCCTGACTCAGAGGCTGATCTCTTTCTGTTAGTAAATTCTCCCCTCCCCTTGGGCATATTTGCAGAACATACTACCGAAAAAGAGGGGGCACCACGTGTCTGTAAATCTAGGATGGAGACAGGCAGCAGCTAAGGGGGTGAAACTAGCTGGTTGTACCCTTGCTGACTTTTTTCTTGTTGGGAAACAAAGCAGCATGCATCCACCAGCTCTTACTGGTAGGTATTGTTTGCTCAGAGATTCCCAATTCCGAGGTTGAGGGGAAGGTGGGGGTCCAACCTCCAGCACAGCACAGGCCACAAGGCACTCCTGACCAGGCAGGAGTGGCATGTTTGAAGTGTTGACCTCTTTGAACTAGAAGAGAGCTGTATTAGCCATAAACTCTGGCAAATGATAAATTGACAGCAGAGGAAAATTGATTAGCGTTATTTGCACCTCAGTCTTTGGCCTCTTTTTTTTTTTTTTTTTTTTTTTTTTTTTTTTTGCATTGTAATTGATCTGGGTTTTTTTGGTGTTGATTGGCCTGAAGACAAAAAAACAAAGCAGAGGGCTCTTCCCGTAGCCCTGGGTCCTTGTCTTCTCCAGCCTTAGGGCTTGGCTGCTATTATTAAGTGCTCACAGAGGGCACAAGCTCTCCAGTGCTGATGTTCACTACTGAAAACAGTAACGTGTGTAACCTATTCCTACTTGGGGCCAAGCTCAATCCCTATTGATGTCAAGGCACTGACAAACCGTGACCCTGTGCACACTAGGATTGCCCAGCTTGCCAGCTAAGCCACTTGGGGGATGGCTCTTTGGTCCTGCCTGTTGAAGCTGTGGTGGCAGCTATTTATTTTGGTGTGATATTTTCTTGTTCTTTTATATATTTTTTCTTTTTTTTTTTAAGTCAACTGAAACCAGGGTATTTCTTGGTCAGGCTGGACCTGGAGAAATGCAATACACAGTTATAGGGCCAGTCCTATGAGATGCAAAACTGCTGCAGTTGCCACCAACTCCACTGGAAATTAATAGGGCTTAGTCTTGTGGAACCGGACTTTTACTCAGAGCTGGCTTCCCTCAAACCCTGGCCACTGCCCATTCCTCGAGTCATTTCAAAGGGACACTACTTTTGGCTCTAAAGGTAGACTTTGCTTTTTTATTAATACTATTATTTTTAAACCCAAGTATTTACCAAACCTGCCAGAAATAAATATATGAGTGATATTTTTGCTTCATAAAGCTGATTGGGATTCTTTTCTTTATTGCTTAAACACTTTCATCCTTATACTGGTGCTAGAGGTTTCAAACTGAGCTTACACAACAGGTAAAATTGATAAAGGAGTTCTGTTGTCCTTACATGTACATCAAAACTTCCTTTTTAATAAAGTAGACCTTAAATTTCCCATGGTTAGCACAGAGGATCCTCTTTTTCCTCAGGTTTTATGTAGATGATATTACTTTAGGTGAAACTGCTGGTTCTCTGTCTCCATTTTGCCAAATGCTTGCTTGGGCCAGTCTAGGTTGAGAATCTAAAGCTGTTCAATAAAATGTCTCTGCATGTCATTTCCACTCATTTTTTAGCAGAATGCAACACTGACAAATGGTGAATTCTAAAGTGATACAGCTACTTTTGAGGCTAGCTGACCATTATTTCTGTCTCCAGGGAGATCAGGAACATCTATCCCTTCTAGGGGTTTTAGGAAGTCAGGTGCCTCCTCAGACCTAACTGGTGGAATAACAAAAACCTACCTTTGCTTTTGGTCACTGAATCATTGCCAAAAGGAGCTGCAGCTGGTCCTTGCCCACTGCCTCCTGCCTGGTCATTGACCTTCTCAGAGACAGGATGGGATGCTCCCCTTTCCTGTCCTGTGATACTGATGGGAGCTATGTGAAACTGCTTAAAAAGAGGATTATTTTCTACTGTTTGGAAAAAGCCCCAAATACCTTGTGCCTGCCCATTTTGTCCCTCAAATCTCTCAGAGGATGTTTGTGATGGGATCGTTGGTTTCTGGAATTTTGTATTTTGTGGATCAGCCTTACTTTTATTTGGTTTCTGGCAGCCAGGTACAACTTGAGCTCTGCTGCTGTTTTGGTCTGGCCCTGCATTCTTTTTTTTTGTGTGCTCGTTGGGAATTGATTGTCTTCCCCGTCCCCAAAATCCCCTGCCAATTCCTAAATTTAGTGTCTCCATGTTCTGCATGTAATGGGAGCGTGGGAGCTGTTATAACTAGTGCTGACCAAGAGTTGTTGAAGTCAATAGAAAAAGACCCAGGGAATTTCAGCTGGTATTGGGTCAACCCCCTAGTGACTGGCTCAACAAAACTTCTCATAACATCGTAAATTAATCAATGCCAAAATGGGAGGAGCAGTAGCAGCTGCACTGAAGGAAACATTCAGCTTCCAGGTGATGTTTGCCATTCCAGTTTTGCCCTCGTTCCTCCTTCCCCCCTCCCAGTTGTGGCATTGCCTTCATATATTCCTTTCTCGTAGATGTGGAGAGTGGGTAAGTCTCAAACTACTTGTGATGTGATGGGATTTGGGACCAACATGCTGGGGACAGTAGCTGTCTGTTGCATTTTTTATAATTATTATTTAAATTATCTGTTTAGTTCATCTGAACCTTTTAATTTTGCTGCTTACTGTGTGTAGGATCCACCTGGCCTTCATCCTAAATTAAAAGAAAAAAATGAAAACAAACTTAAGACACCTCCCTTCTCTCTGGTCTCTTACTATTTATTGGCAGGCAGCCGTCTTGTGCCTGCTCCAGCAGATCTGCCCGCCACTAATTTAACATCCTCCCAACTCACATTCTTGGTGTTTGGTTGTTGCCTTTTTTTTTTCCTTTTTGGTGTTGCTTTTTTTCCCATTATAAAACAGACTTCTGAAATGTAAGAAATCTTACTATTATGACACAAGTTCATTTTCATTAGGAAGGCCAAGTGAAACATTTTAAGAGGTGGGGGGAACAATCTAAATTTTATTTCTTATTTATTTATCATGTTTACATCTTTTTTTTCTGTTTAAGACTTGGATATAATAAAGAAAGCATTAAAATACTTCAATCTTCTTTTTTTAGGCTAATAATATTTTTTTTTGATTCCTTAAATAAAAGATTCTGGGTTTTGTTGTTGTCTGTATAAAATGTAAAAAGAGATATGTTTCTAAAGATGCATTATCATTCCTCTGTGAACAGTAGGTGGAGTTCAGGACAAATCTCAGAATACAAGATAATAATAAAATCCCATCCTGTTTTACTTAATTGTTCCCCTCCTATCCTGTATGATTAAAGGGTTATTCCACTTTCTTGTTTGTGGTTACTTGATGTTAAAACCATAATAAAATGTGTAGAAAATAGGTATCCAATTGTTTTTGCTCAGTGCGAGGATAAACTGTTGTATATATCTTGATATACTGTGTAGTTCAAAGTAACATCAATAAGGGATAGTGCATCTTTATTAGAGCGATGTTACTCGTGTCACTAAAGTCTACTTTAAGATCCTCAGATACAGAAAGGGCCTGATTCTGATTCCACTCTCCTGGGGCCAAATTGAAAGCATCAGTAGCATTTTGCTGCTGCAAAGCGGGAGTCAGAGGTGGAATCAAACCTCAGTGATTAATAGGCAACCATGAGGATTACTGAAGGTTTGGGGCACCATTATCTTTTTTTTTTTCTCAAAGTTTTATATCATGGTTTTTCTTTTTTATTGTTTGTCTGCAATGAAATAGTTTCTGCCAAGGAGGTTCTTAAAGATGACTGCTGAAGTGGGACCTTTCTTTGCTCCTGGTGATCTTGATATAGTTCCTTCAGTCCTGAAGAATCTCAGCTCTGAGGCATTCTCTCTGCTGTTGTCTCTTTTCTGTTCATGTTATTTTACTGAATTACAGGCCTACACTATTTGCACTAAAACAAAAAGCTTGTTAGAGAAAGCTTGCTGCTATGAAAGAAAGAACATATTACAATGGTTTTGCTTTTACAATTTTAACTGAGTAGCATTTTGTAGAATAAAATCAATTTAGACTGAAAAGAAAAAATGACTTTTCTTTTTTCCTCTGCACCTTCTTTCCCCCACACTCCTTTCTTTTCATCCAGTTCCTTGGTTGGTATGATATTCCCCTCTTCTCTTTTGGTGCTCAGTTGTAATGATTGGCTATATTGTTGACTATGCTGCTGAGAGTTATGACACTTGTAAATCTCGTTTTAATGACATTGTGGACACTTTTGTATAGCAAGAGCTAACTGGAGTTCTTCTCTCTGTTAATTGAAGTCATTAAAAAGCTCCCTTTGCCATGAAAAATTAAAACCTCGCATGTTCCTTCAATATGAACAAATGGGTACAGCATTGCCAGGTGCCCGGTTGTAGCACATTTCAGGGCTTCTTTCACAAAAGCCGCTGCAATCCAGACAGCTGTTAGCTGCAACAATGGTAAATGGGGCAGAGGCTAGCAGAGCAGCCCACCTGGGCTAAAAGGCAAATAAAGCACTAATCCTTTCATCTTTGCTTCAAAAAGGAAAGGGATAGAGGTAGAAAATTCATGCTGAGGTGGCTTTTTTTTTTTTTAAATCCATCTCCTCAGCCAGAAGAACTCAAAAGCTACTCTGAAAACGTGGGATGGAGAGCAGGGTTGCTTCACTGTCAGGAGGAGGTTAAGATGGAATTCCCTTGCTCACCTGGGGAAAGCTCCAGCCTCTGGAGTGGAAGGAACTCAGATACATCAGGTTGGGAGTGGAGGATGTCATATTCAAATTAAAAAAGAAACTGGTGGGGAGGAGATAGGTGAGTCATGGCTAGGCAAGCTGGCACCAGACCAAGCTACTCCTTACTCATGGACTTCCTTAGGAGTAATGTCTGCTCTGGTTTCCTGCTGGTCCCTTTCCCTCTTCTTTTTTTTTTTTTTCTTTTTTTTCCCCCTTCTTTTTTACTTTTTTCTTTTTTTAATCCCTGTGTTCTCACAGTGCCATGGGGAAGGAGATGAGAGATGTTGGAGTAAGTTACATGGCTGGAGTATGAAACTATTTGTGAAGTCATAGGGAATACTGAAGGTATCAGTCACCAGAACTGGGAACACATGCACATGCCTGTGTGAAATGAGCTCAGCTGCCAGGAATCCGTATTGTAGGAAAGTTGACACGAAGTCAACATAGGAGGTTTTGGGCTGTAGAGCTGGAGCCAGACTCAGGGTTCCCCAAAGGGTCAAGGATGACAGAGGGGGTGAGGGAGAGCCTATGGGAGGCTTTTTCTAAATGCATTCGCCTTGGTATGGTTCAAGGAAAAAGCAATTATTCTGGGGGGCATGGCAACTACAAGCAAATATACCAAAGGACACAGGAGCATCATCTCTTAATATCTATCTCCACTGGGACTCAGGCATGAAGGAGTCCCCGTTTGATCTCCTGCACACAAGTCTTCTCTAAGGGGAGTGCTTCCAGGATTTCCTGCCTCTAGAAGGGCTTTCCCATTACACTGGTGTACAGAGGCATCCAGCCTCGATTTTGTCAAACCAGCTCCTTTGGCAGCGTATACCTCCTCCGCCCCCTCCCAAAAAAAGGCTAACAGGAGGATATGTTCTTGCTTGCCTTCTGCCAACCTGAAGTGCTCCCTAAGCTCCTGTTTGCTGACAGTGCCCTTCGGAAAGGCTTAACATTGCTTGTCTGTAAATGCTGGTGGAGAGACCAGGCCTCCCACTTGATTTTCTCCCAGCGCTGTCTGATTGCAACTGCCTTTTATCATCATTAGCTCCCAGACCCTGGAATGTCCACAGCAGTTACTGTAACTTGGTTTTGAAGGATAATATTGCACAGCAGAGCAAACTGCTTTCTACCATTCTTCTAGATGTGGGAGGTCAAATTCTACCACATTGACATGGAAATTATGTTTTTCCCAACATCCTCATCTTGTTTTAGATCACTTCACATAGGGAATTTCCCCTCCTTCTGAAACAGGCTCACTCTCCCTCCACCCTACAATGCCCTGACCTTGTGATGTGAGTGAGGGATCTGTGTGTTACCACAGGGCATGCAGAGTCCTGCTTGGAAGAGAGATCACCCATTCCTTTTGCAAGAAAGGTTGTGAGGGTCATCTGCACCAAAACCTCTTCCATCAGGATCAGCATACATGATGTTTTTAGTGTGTACAAGAATTAAAAGAGCTCCCCATTCTTTTTTGCCTGTCCCCTTCCCAGGATGTGAGACTGATATCTGGACTTTCTTCACGGTCACATTTCTTGGTGATTGAAGAACTGGCTACTCTCTCCAGACAGCATCTGTGGGTAGCCTAGTCTTTTTACATGGAGGGGACACCCCATCTGGGACAGAAAAAGCAAGAAAAAGCTTTCTTTAGGCCAAGAAAAAGCCCAGAGGAGTGACCTGAATATATCATGCTAGAGATGTGAGTTGTCCAATGAAGGCTTTTGGTGATTTTTTTTTTTTTCACTTTTTAAATTTGGTCTAGAACCTGCAGGAACACTGTAGAAATTCTGCAGCCAATGGAAAGAATAAGCGTGTGTTAAACCTGAAGAAATCTTAATGGCAAGCAGAGCTGGAGTGGGAGTGTGGGGGAAAGGAGAGCATCCAGAATGCTGGTTCGAAGTGATGTTTCCACTGTCATGTGGGAAGGATGTGAGAGAGAAAAACAGTGACATAGTTATTGCATCAGATACTCCAAAGTGGAAAAAATGACGCATTTAAAAAAAAAACCAAACCCATACTATATGGTCCTACTCCTACTGATGTCTGTGTCTCCTGAAATTTCATGTTGTCATAACAAGAGTTTTCTGCTCTGTCTCACGTGGCACTAGTGAGGCAGTGCTTGGCCAGTGTCAGGACAGTGGACAATGCAGATGAATTATCAGCCTGGGTGGAAGCTGCTGGCACCCTCTTATAAGGCTGAGATTTAAACAAAGGCTTTTCATGCATGTTCCAGTGAGTGAGATCCAGGACACTGCAGGAAGGTTTGCCTTGATGAAGACAGGACAAGGCTCAGAGGAGAGGCTGATAGAGCTGGGATCATTTGGCTTTGAGAAAAGAAGACTCAGGGAGAATCTTACTCAAGTGTGTGAATACCTGATGGGGATAGGGAGCAAAGGAGATGCGATCAGACTCTTCCCAGTAGTACCAAGTGACAGGATGAGAGGCAATGCTCACAATTTACAATAGGGGACATGAAAATAACTTTTTCATTGTGAAGGTGGTTAAACACTGGCATAGGTTGACCAGGGAAGTTTGTGGAGTCTTCATTCTTGAAGACATTCAAAACATGACTGGACATGGCTTTCTGCAATCTGCTCTAACTGACCCTGCTTGAGCAGAGGGGTGGACTAGACACTCTCCCATGGTGCCTTCAAATCTCAACCTTTCTGTATTTCTGCTTTTGATTATACAGAGTCCTGAAGGACCATATCACGACCATATTTCTTTCCCCCTTGCATTGCTATCTCATTTGAACTCTAGAATTCCTTTGTACTAAATATCAGCCTTTTTGATGCTGGCTATGCAAGGTCAAACAGATAAGGATTAAGCTGGGAGGAGGATGTCATGGCAGACAAGAATGTAAACTGTTCATCCTGCTGCAGTGTGAGTCTCAGATTTCCCTTTTTGTGCTCCATTCCACAGACTAGCATGGGGGAAGAGAGGGAGACAGGCCTTACATGGCTGTAATCTAGATCCTGCATCCCCCAAATGACTGTGCAACTCTGCAAGTTCACAGGCAGTGCCAGGAACTGTTGCCTACTTGCCTTTTGCAGGCTCTCCTACCATTTTTCCTCTGTCAGACAGAAGCTGTTGTTCAAGTTCCCTGGAAAGGTAAGTAAGGATATACAGCTGATGATCCCAGGTGAGCTCGTGGGTCAGGCACAACCCATCAACTGAGCAAAGACCTCCCCCTGGCTCCCCACCCCCTTTCTGTAACCCTGATTGGGCTCCCAGACTCAGGCAAATTCATCAGTGGTTCCCCATGATGACATACACTCCTGCTGGTGATTAGTGATGTGAGCAGCCACAGCAGGAGATGCTGGGTTTGGGCAAGGAGAAGAAATAGGTCAGTTCTTTTCCTTTGGGTAGATCAAGTTATTCGAGCACTGGATGCTCTAATTCTCTAAATCCTGTCTCAGTTGCTTACGTCAAAGTACCACTCTGAAATGTTCTTCACTTAGTTTTGAAACTGTTTGTCTCATGTTAATGAGGATACAGCAGCAGACGCCAGCCTGTGGGCTTAAAAGAAAAGTTACATGCCAGAGGGCCATGAATGTCTCTATTAATCCAAGGGGAAAGGTGAGCTCATGACCCCTCCACATCTAAGATTCCCCTCTGGTCTAGCCAGGCACAGCCCTGCCCTGATGCCTCAAAGCCAGGGCTTGGGGTTGGACATCAGCACCAGCAGCGACCAGCACCATAGCCTTGTGCAGCAGCAGTCAGTAGCTGTAGCCTTTGTTCCAGGCCAATGATGGCTTAGAAGGCTGCAACCCTCTGCTCCTCCCTGGCTGCTACAGGTCACAGGAGTGATGGGAGATGTTGGCTGCCTTTTGTAGCCTCCAACTGAACATTGTGTTTGGGAGCCACAAGGACTGTGATTAAATCTCTACTCTGAGCAGTGTTCTGAGGCCATACTGGTATCTAATTACATTCCTCACCTCTGGCAGCTGGGGAAATGAAGAACTGCCTGTGACACTTGCCTGTGGTAAAAGGGAGGGAATAGGAAAGGAGAGTGATGCCTTCAAAACATCGGCTTCAGGTGCTTCCCTTGACCTTGGGTGTCCTCTTCTGTCAGCACCTGCTGCTGGGATGGGTGTTCATCCTGGGGTGATTTTCCTCCCCCCTGCTCTTGTTGTCCTGGTGGAGGTGGGGGCTTTGCAGAAGCTGCAGTCGCCTGTGGCCAGGCTGTTCCCAGGCAGCTGCAAGGAGGAAAGTTGTACTGTGGTGACACAGAGCAGGAGCTGTACAGTGAAGGTCTTGGCAACTTGAAGTCCTCAAAGACACATCTGACTGTAGCAGGTCCCTGATTGCATGGACCTGCCTGTCCTAGAGGATCCTCCTGGGGAATTGCTCCTGTAAGTGTGGCTGGCTGCCTTGGTAGGGTAGGTCTATCCTCTCCACCCCTGGTGACTGGTTCCAATTTTGTTTTTCTTTACTCACATGGCCCCAACTCTTGATTTCCCTGCACAGCTGCTGCCATTTCTCTGTTCCCCAGGACCAGCAGCTGCTCCACAGGCACGTTCCTGGTGACAGGGAGGGAGGCAGACAGTTTCCACCACAGGGCTGTACAAAGGACTGAATCCTGTGACCCGGTGCCATAGGGAAGAAAGTCAT